TTGTTTCGAGAAGAGATTAAGTAAGACAATCGGGATTTGTCAATTTTCCATTTTTTAACCAAGAAAATTTGTTTTGTGGGCTCTATAATAGCTTGAATTTAATGGGCTTACTACATATGGGCCTTTATTGGGTTCAGAATTTATTTCATCACTTGGCATGTGCAGTCCACTATTGATGTTTTCATTTATCCCATATGATCATTCATCTTGATATTTCTTTAAAAAATAAAATATATTAATAAGAATAATAAATTTATTTCGAGAAAAGCAGATACGTGAAAAGGGAAATAAAATCAATCTTAAAAAGGGAAAAACTAACGATTTTAGAGTATGTTTAACGAATAGGAAGAATTGAACAGTATATTGATCGCTACTTAGGGTCTGTTGGACCGAATTAAAATCTGATTTTAATTTAAATCAAAGTCAAACAATCAATATTAACCATATATTTCATGGATTCCACGTCTTTTCAACCACACATTTTAAAAATTTCTATTACAATCCACTAAAAATCTAATTTTAATCCCTACCAAACACCCTCTTAATTTCTTCTTCTTCTTCTTTAATAACGTCGAATGATTTCAGTTTCCTCACAAAAACATGCATAAGATGTTAAAAACTAAGGGAAGAAATGGCAAATCTTGCATAGTTTTAAAAGTAGAAATTACAATAATCGAGAATGTTCTCTTGTCCGCGGCGGGCAATCTTATCCTGTCCACCTGCTGATGTGGCAGGAGAACCCTACGTGGGGTTCTCTCCAAATGTGAGAACCCCACGTTGAGTTCTCTCCGAGTGGGCATGATAAGATTGCCTGTCGCGGGTAGGAGAACGGGACTGTACGATAATCGAGAATCCAAATTATGCAGCACAAGGTGCCATTGAAATAAACAAAGGAGAGACATTCTTTAATTTAATTTATGGGAATGTCAGATAGAAACAAAGAAGCCAGACAGACAACATGATCCCTTACAAATTAATTGTTTGCCAATCAATCAGACAACACATGGGATCTTTTTCTCTTAATTCTCAAAAATTGCATTTTTATATAATTTTAGCATAAAACGAATGCCCCCCTTGTGATCTTTAAACTCTTAATTGTTAGGGAAATTGGCACTTTTCATCTTCATCTTTACATTTTGTTATTATTCTCGACATTTTTTACCCCGGACATTATCAACCTTTCCATAACGTAGGAAAAGTCGTCATTCCGTTCGTTTTAACCATTAGAGAAGCATAAAATAATGAATTTATCCCATCTTTAAATAAATAAAAAAAAAATGCAACTAAATAGAAAAAATTACGACTAGAATCCTAAATCCTTTCAAAATGAACAAATAGATCACAAAACAATTATAAACAATTGACAAAAAAAGAAAAATAAAAATAAAACGAAAAAAGAAGTCGTCATCTTCCGCACTCCACCCCAACCAAACCATAACACCATCAGCCAGTTGCCATCACCACTGTCACCACTACTACTATTCCCTGTTCCCATCA